TCTCTATCAATTCCATACCAACACTGTCCCATTCTGCTTCACTTAAACTGTCCATCTCTCATAGTCTTCTTTCCTGAAATTATAAACCTGTGATCTGGGCTCTGCCTTTACAGTTTGAAAGTGCACTTCAAAGGGATATGATCACAGGATATGATCACAGTTCCCTCATCTGTTTTCCTCACTTTGTCTTGACTGTTTGAAAATGCTAGATCTATACTGACATTCCTTCTTGTATGGTGTCTAAGAAACTAGATAAGAAAGCAAACTTTACTTTCATGCTGAAAAGAGAAGAAAGAAAATACAATGTTTTGGCTCTGGGGCCTTCCAGTGTCAACTTGAAATCTCCCATCATTAATTCCATTATACAGTGATGAATCATCATTAATACCTGAATTTAGTGGTCTGTAGCATACTTCTAACACTATGTCATTTAAATTGTGAATTCTGACACTGCCTTCATTGTCTAAGACCCTTGATTCCTGATGAAGAAGGTCCTGTACCTGAATATTCCTTTTGTGACATAATGTTATTCCTTCAATCTTATACTAAAATTCATCCAAAATCCAAAATTCTAAATCAGTTCCAAAAATGCCTTTCATGCTAGCACAGGATGCTCACAAAACAAGGGGTTATTCTATCTCATTTGGCTGCTCCAGTCTTCTGACGTAAAACCAAACATCTACTGCTAATCTGACGATAAAGTGTTCTTCAAAGGCAGAAGTGCAACAGAATTGTACTTCCCACCCCACCCACCGGAAAGAAAAAAATGAAAAAGGATATACAAGTGTCTTTTCTTTCCCCAGATGATGCTTTTGGCACTCTAGGCACCCAACAACTGGATTTACAGCTGGAAATGTTTCATCATGGAGCCAATGCCGTTTTGCTTAAAAAGCTTGTCTGGAACACTTTTAAATCTGAGATTTTAACTGCCTTTTCATTTTATTTTCTCTAACTGCATTCAAAATTGCAGATGGTGTGCAATAGTTTTGGCTTAAGCTGCGTATATCCACACATGCATACATCATTCAGTTTGGGTCAATGGCCACCTGCACATACTTATGCTTCTATATTACACTACGTTGCCAAATGTAGTTTTCATTAATAAATATTCACTTATGCAGCTCAGATTAGAAAATGTTATACAGTATATTCAGTTTTCTTTCATTTCTTCCTTCTGCTCTGTTTGTAAGAGGCACCAGATTACACAGCGATGTTGTACAGGTTATGCAACAATGTAGTACAAGAATATGGCTGGATTTGTCACTGCATTAAGTTTACTTCAATCCTTTGTGAATAATACGCGTGAAAGAGTCAGCTGCTCAAATCTTTTTTATCATCTACAGAATAAGGTAGTATCTCATTACCTTGTGACATTTGCTCTTGAAAACATAATTAATCAGTACTAGCAAATATGTCTTGGTAATTCTGTTCAATAATCCAATCGCTCTCTCTAAAAAATAACTCCAGAGCTCGATATTGAATCTGCCTTCAATTAATTTCCACTTATGTCCCTTGTTCTTGGCATCCACGATATGTCTGAAGTAGTGATTGAGATTGCCTTTATCAGGTGTACAACCATAAGCTTAGAGACCTCAATCAAACATCTAAAACATGGCTAAAAAACATTACATTTCTTTAACTTGTGTAGACAGGACAGATATTTAATGTTTGTACAATAGCCAGGTTGTTTTGCTCTGCAGTCTAACAATGATTATTTTTTGTTCATGGGGCAACCATTTTTCTTTCTCTACAGGGTGTCAAATCACCTGAACATAAAATGTTTCCTGATAGATTTGAAATCATCTCACATTACTATATTTCAGAGAAAGGCTGTTTGTTTCCAGAATGTACAAATCAATTTATTTCACAACACTGAGTTTATATTTGCTTTATTAGGTAATCTGTAATGAGCCTTTTTATTGCCCGTTCATTTTCAATTTCAGAAATTTTTCCTCTATCCGGTTCAGTGTAAAAGGTGAGGTTTTCAGTGCTTCCTGCTTTGCAGTCTTCCTCCTTCCTGGCACTGTCCGCAAATTTAGCAAGTACTGTCCATTATACTGGGCTCAGGTACCATTCAGAAGGAACAGGAGTCTTGTAGGTGAGAACAAAAATATGCCCAATTATGAACCCAGATGTGCAGAGATGCAAATAAACTCTAAGGAAATTAGCCTGCAGTTTACAACTTAGATCTTGTTTAAATTTTTTCATCATTTTACAAGGACATGCATATAATTAACAGTAATCGTAAACACGATGTTCTCTCTTAATGTTTTTCCCAATTCTTTTACATAGTAGCACCTGCTCCTTGCATTTCATCTTCTACTAATATTTATGAACTATTTATTTAGCTTTCTTTGGGGGGGGGGTATTTACTGTAGATGCTTATCAAACTGTTTGTGTAGAGAGGGGCACAAATGTTTTGGTGTCAGGTCATAACAGCACTGGTGTCACTGATTTATCAAAGGGAAAGGGTGGGAAAAGAGGGGTTCCTTATCATCCATGGAGTTTATTCTGGGGGATTCGTCTTCTGAATTTTACTTGAAAACAATCAGAGAATTAGTAGGGAGAGGGAATTCAGTTGTACTCTGTAAAAGAGCTAGAATTTCACACGTGCTGCTTTACCTTTTGGCTTTAGCTTTACAATTGGTGTTGTATTCTTTATTAATTCCAGACATTAGTCCCTTACTGACTTTTTTTTAAATGCATAACTAGTGTTCAATTTTGTCACAGACCTGTTGCACGGTGGTGGGGACATTTATTGTTTAAAAGTCCTTAGCTAAAACTTTAAAAGGAGAGCATGACTGAGGGAGACTGCTTAGAAAATGTGTTTGCAATAAAAAAAATTCCTCCTGCTTCAAGCAAGGAGGTTTTAAGAGAAACAGAAATATTGGCCAGCCGTGAAAAAGTAATGAGGGTTATTGTTTAAGCTGGTTGTAACTTTAAGGCATCAGTCAGGTTAATAATATAACTTCAAATCTGTGAAGCTGTGATTTGAAAGAGCAGGTACAGTTTGTCTGCATATACGGTATATGTAACATTCCAAAACGTTTATTTTATGTCAGAAGAAGCTGCTATGAAAAGACTGCCTGAAAAAACTCATTGCACTATACCAACACATATGAGCGAGATATTAATTTAAAAAAACTGGGAAATGAGAGAGAGAGAAGTGAAGAATTCTACACAAAATAAAAGGCTATTCTTAGCTAACAAAAAACACTGTATAGTGTTGTTTTGTATTCTACGGGGTCTCTATAGAAGCCACCGTATAAAGTTTATAAGTGTATAATCTACATTTCTGCTCAGTTCTCCAAAGGACAATGAACCCATACCCTAACAGCTCCTTTGTTAGGAATTGTCTATCAACATAAAGTCATGCAAGGAAAATGCCTCCTTTTTGCTCCTTAGTTACACTTCCTCTCTTTTTATTTCAACACACCTGAACACAAACCTCTGCTAATGATGAAAAGCTCAAGATTTTTTTAGTGTTTCTTTTAATCTTTACTTCTCTTCTTGTTACTGTTGCCATCTGTTAGATAACATATGGGATTGACTCAGACATGCTTGCACAGGGGATCTTCAGATCAGAAGTTCCAAAACTACTTAACAGGTGAGGAGATCCTTGTATCAAACCTGACAGGCAACACAAGTCCCTAGGCTTACACACGAGAAAACCATAGCACACCTGCTGTGTAATATCACACTTTTTACCATATGTTTGTTTAGAGCAGTTAGGGACATGCATACACATATAAGGGCAGCTGAGAAATTTTAAGAGAAGACAAAGTCTACAGTCCGAAACATTTCTTTAACATAACACAAATTATCAATGCATGACTGAAGCATTTCAAAGCATGAAGATACATCAGTAAATATTGTTTTTTTACTTTCACTTAACGTGAGCAAAATGAAACACACTTAACAAATTGTATTAATTAAAAATTAAACTATTATGCACTTTCACCCAATTGTGCATACAATTAATTTATCTGTAGTTCTGTTTCTTTAACTTTATGTTCAAATGTCCAGATCATTCAGGATGTCATCTTTCATTCAGGCTGGCTGAGTGTCCTCGATGTATCAAACTACTTTACAGATCCCCATTACTTGCTCCTACAAAGGTATGTCTCCTTTTAGAAATCTATTGCTCCAAATATGTTTCTTATTTACTGTATAACACAAAAAATGCAAATGCCTGACTCAACACAGTTTTTTCTATAACATAAAAGCGCAAAACGGTGCTTTCAATTGGCCAAGTATTACTGGTCTTGGTCTGTAAAACCAGTCATACTTCTTCCAAATGTTTTGTATATTAAAGTCTAACAAATCCAAACAAAAATACTATATAAAGTGTGAGTAATGTTTTCATTTTCTATCTTTTTTTGCAATTAAGGATGGTGAAACATAAACGTACAAGATTAGATTTTCTTAAAGTGGTCCATTACAAATAAAAAAACAACAGGGAACACATTTTTCTTCAGTGTTAAAGTTGACATTCAGACTGTCTACACAAGTACTCTCATCCTCTATTTTTATATGCACAGTGAAGAAATGCTGGATCGAACCATTAATCAGTGCTACATACTTTAGCAAAAACACCCCAACTAAATTGCAAGTAACACATTTTCAGAAATGAAAATTGTACAAACGATCTATTATTTTAAGTTAGGGAAACTAATTACACTAATGAAAAATGATCTCCTTAAACCCTTAACAAAACAGACATCTATTAGACTAGGTTTCCAAAAACATATTCTTCTATACCTACAGGCAATTTTATCTTTCAGATTTACCTCAATCCACACTTGTCCCTTGTTCATTTCTAAATCTGATGTTTGAAGACCCCACCCCCCCATTCCCGAAACCACAACTCTCACTATTTTATTTCTTCTTTTAGAAGAAGAAGCTTGTTCTTCTTTTAGTCAAGTCCTTCCACAAGCAAACGTTTCTTATTACAGATCTCACGTGAGGCGTCAAACAGCCAAACACCACTTAACACTTACTTGTTCAGCCAGTGTCCTAAGTCAGGAAGATGGGCCCATTGCACCCCGGTCTGGTTCAATGAGCGGAGCATTCGGCAACATACCAATGTTGCCAAAGGTGTTACCAAAGCCAGCCACTTTTCATAGCCTGCCAAAGCAGAGGTTCTTGAACTGTAATCCACTGTTGGGGTGTCATCTTTAGAGGGGAGGTAGGAGTTTTCATCTAAATCCCTGTGACTCTTTTTCTCCCTGAAATATTTTCGGCAGACATCCTGGAACACTGCCAGACAGAGGGTATTGAGTAGGAAATACCAGGTTTGGTGTTCCTCCTCGATAAAACTGCTGGCTCCCAGACTCAGAACATGGCCCAGGGTTCCGGTCAGGAGGAGTATATCGAGCTCTGAAAAGCCAGAATCAGAGGACTGAGCCTGTTGAGAGAAAAAGGGAAAAAAATAATGGAGTTAATGGTATTGTACTAGCTTGAAAATAATTTGTATCTGTTCTACATGGAAAATGAGTAAATAATAGAAAAGGTTTGGGGTATTCAAGAAGAGGTCAGCCACACTTTAGAAATGATATCTACATAAATAAGAAACCATGAACTTCACTTGACAGTATGACTTCGAAACCTTGCTTGAAGGCAAAAAGAAACATTAAGCAATTTCCATTCTTTCCATTGAGATTTCCCTCATGTGATGAAAGTATGCAATCTGTCTCATCAGCATGCAGAAGTGCAAAATGTCTCATTAACATTCACCCGATAAAGTATGCATGCCTCTGAGAAGTGTTGATTAGTCTGAGTAGTACAAGGAACCTGAATTTATTAAACAAGAAGCTATTTTCAGAGAAATGACTCAGAGGGGCTCCTTATAAACACATATGTGGTGTATGTGCCATTCTTAGAGATCGTAGAAAGAAACTATTGTACCTTGATTCCTGATCTTGACAAGAGAGAGTCTCCCTCTTTTTGCTTGTTACTTTGGGCCAAGGGGCCAAAGATTATGAACTTAATGCTTTACAAAATAGATAATTCCTTCAGGGTTAATCAGAAATAGCCCTCCATGTTTCAAAGACTGAACATAACTCAACTATCCAAGGTCATTCTATCTGCTGTATTTATCTCCTAAGTGGGTGCTGCATTTTAGTGATGGGTGAAGTACATTCCTGCCTATAGGAACTGCACTAAATAAATTCAATGCAGCATTATTTAAAATTATATTAAAATCAAAGTAGAAAATCAAAGCAGAACAGAACAACGGGAGGTTACATTCATGCTGAAAAAAAAAGAAATTAGAAAAAATACTGATTGGGGAGCCTTCTTCTGGCATATACTGCAGAAGAATGAGGGAGAGGGAGGAGTATGAGTATAAGGAGAATGAAGAAAGAGGGTGTGAAAATGGAGACAGAAGTGTGAGAAAGGGGATTGTAAGGGATGGATGTGAATTCCAGAGGACATGAAAATGAATAGAGAAATTAAGAAAAATAATCATTAAGAGCAAGAGAAAGTTTTAATCGAATTTAAGCACAACTTTATTTATGTCTATCTGCATACCTGTGAAAGGACACAGCCAAAATGTGCATTGAAATCATGGCTGGGAGCAGTACTCTATCATCATCAAAGCACAACTACAGTAAATAAAACACTTTGTCAATTAACTTTGAACTGCATATTCTTTTCTTTCAGCCATACAGACAGAAACCAGTTTATTCTAAGTGAATTTTGGAGGAATCTCTTCTTGGTTGGCAAATTGGCAACATGTACACAAATAGTTAGGCCATGAGAAATACAGTATATAATGTAAACCATGACTATCTTCTTTAAATACCACAGATTGAACAGTTGTCATTAATATAACAACGGCTGTCTGAAGACACTCTCCAATTATCTTAATCATCTTCTATTACAATTTCTATACTATATCATATCACATTATGTATAGTATCACCATTTCAAGGTGATATACAGTATGCTAAAGGAAATACTATACATACAGTATTAAGCCAAGCATATAACTACCCACCTTTCATTTGAAGACTGTCCTACCACCCGCTCATACACACAAGGATTTCTGTCTCATCACAGAATTCTAAACATTTTCTTTGACCCCTCAGTATTCTGCCAGTGAAGCTCAAGAGTGATCTATTTTTGCAAAGTGTTTCCATAATTTCTGCCTCAGCATGAGAACCTTTTAGCCTAAAGAACTGTACATCAGTGTGATGGATGAAACTGACACTTAGCCATTTACGATTTGAGCACCTAACTGTGTTATGTTGTGCAGCTGTGCAATCAATCAATTCACAAATGCAGGGTAAACTTAACCAAGAGGAAAATGAATTGTGTAGCCACATTTCTGTTAGTGTAAACATGGCTGGTGAACTCCCCCGAGTCTGTCCAATGAGATTAGAATGCCAAGCTTGTATATATTTCTGTTAAATCTGCTAACATTACAGTTTAAGGGAATTATTTTTTTTCTCTAGTTCTTTCCCTTGACCAGAAATGAAATCCTAATGCAGGCCATCATTTATATGCTAATTCAAATATGTTTTTCATATGGGAGCAAATTTCTTTTGAATAGGTCTTCTTCAATCACAGACATTTTTCTTTCTTTCCTGGAGATTAGGCTGATAGTCTAACAAATTAAAACAAATGGAAGACATCTATTACTAAAATGTATACTGGCTCATTTCCTTTACTTTCAATAAGTAACCTCTCATTCTGAAAACATTAATATGCAAAGGACTTCAAACCAACCACCGAACAGCAGGGCAATTCCATTTAATTTCATTAAAGCTAGATCTAGTCAATAGCAGAGGCAATTGGGTTCCATTAGGGCTCTATATAAACAAAGCGATATAATCAGCTTTCACCAATGAACACTAACAATAAAAGACGAAATAATATTGATTTTTCTTCAGAATGGTTTAGTTAACTGCCATGTTAGTATGACTGACTAAATTAACGTACAGTATTATATTATTAATATGAATTATTTATTACAAAAAAAGTACACCCAACACTACATAGGATGTAACACAGATCATTAGTCTTTATTATTCACAGTACACCAAATACATTACTGTATATTTATTTCGTATATATTAGCTCCTTTTCAATTGAAGGAGGGACTCTCACAATTAGGGCATGAATTCTGTTAAACTGGAGAAGCCATTTGGCTCACTTTGTCCACTACTGAGAATCTCATCCAGACTGTTCTCAAAGGACCTCAAGGGGTCAGCTTCAACAATGTGGCCCACTTCACTTTCCCAATACCCATGAATCTGTGTTATGAAGTGCCTCCTAAATGGAGTTCCTCTTAACTTTCTTTTGTATCCTTACATACTTGTTTCATTGCTGAGCCTAAAGTAGCCCAATGGGTGGAATCTGCCAATACTTTGCAAGAGTTTAACATCTTTTTTTAAAAACCTTTTTTTCTTAGAGGTTCAGGTTCACTTTAACCTGTCTGTGTGCGCAGAATTTTAAGGAAATGGTCCTCAAAGGGCAGTTTTAATATGATTCCTCCTTTTCTTTCACAAGAAAACATTTAGTAAAGAAAATGAGATAAATCAAGGTTACAAACCAACAACAAATTAAGATTCTTTTTAGATAAATTCATGCTTCTTGTTATTTTGTTAACTTTTAGTCTTTAAAAAAAATGCAATGAGACTCCAATATTCCATAGAATATTTTAGAGGCAGCTAAAATCTTGGAATGTGATGGAAAGCAATAAAGAAATTAAAAAAAGGAAGAAAAATCATAAGCCAAATATAACACAGCAAAAGAAAAACAGATTTCCTTCCGGTGAAAAACACTTGTTTATGTGCAAGTAATATTCTCAGATGGATAGCTGTGCTGCAATATTGCGACTAAACATGAACTGGAATGAAGATGGAGCACTTTTTTTTTAATAGAGACTTTTGAAATGACAATCTTACTGAAATTCTAAATAGATTTAATAAGAACTCAGTAATCTGCTTTATCAAAGATTGCTTTATATCCAAAATTTATTTTCTTAATATCGTTACAGAAGCATTTCCTTTAAAAAAAAGTTGATTAAGCAATTCTCAATTCTAGGTAGGTCTGGCATTGAAAACCTTCTTGAGTGTGTTTTATTACATAGAAACCATTTACAGCTCAGAGGCACACAAACAATCTGATTTTCATGTTTATAGTACATTCCTCTGCAGCAGAGCCATACCGTAACTGTCCACATTATGACCTCCACAGCATCTACATCAGAGTTTATCAATTGGAGGAGTGATGCAGCTCTCACTGACAGCACAGCAAACTAAGAACTTTTGCCATGATTCAAGGGATGCTGCTGCACTGTAAAATGGGGATTGCATGGTCAAATCAAATCCATACAACCCGAGTGGCATAGGGGCAATTGTGCACCATTCCTTAAGGAATTTTAGTCAAAATGATTTGGACTTTAGTTGCAAAGGAATTAGTAAAGGATTACTCCATGCTGAAACAAAAAACACAGGGTTGTGTGGAGCCTTCTTCAGGTGTTCCATTGCAGCTTAAGCATGCTGCCGCAGCTACCTACTTGGACTTTAAGATAAAATCACTTTATTGGCCAAATACAATTTCTTGTAGCAGAAATTTGTCTTTTCGCATACCCCAGCTTGCTCTCCATGAGACACACAGGCAGGAAGAGAAGCTTGGGGTCAGAGCGCAGGGTCAGCAACGCCCGTGGAGCAGTTGGGGTTAAGGGCCTTGCTCAGGGGCCCAGCGGAGTAGGATTCTTCTGCCGGCCGCTGGATAGGAACAGGCAGCCTTCCAGCCACATGAGCAGGTCGTTAGCCACAGAGCCACCGCACCGCCCATTATATTTGTCCACCTGCTGTTTGAATGAGTGTCTGCTTATTGAGCCAGTTTGCAGACTGAATTTTGGGCTTTTTAACTTATTTTACATGTTAAGACAGAACATTTACTGCAACTTAAAACATAACAGTTTATAGTTGATCTACACTGCACAACGGGATCATAGGTCATATGCAAGTAAATAATTAAAGAACATCAACAATGTCATTCTGACTATATAAATACACCATTTGTTAAATTCAAGTTATTTGAGAACACAAATATCCAGCAGTCCTCAAATTGGATGGCTTCTCCATATGTAACAGAAATAATTACTTCACAAATTGATTTAAATCATCCTTATCCTCGTCACTTACCAAAACTCCTCATAGACTATAGTCTATTATGCAAATAAATTAAGCAGCTTCAGAAAAGAAAAATGCCTAACACCTTCCTGAAAAAAAACAAGACATGTTCTAAATGAAAAGGTCCAGCATAGAGCTTAATCCCCATTTTGATTTTTTCCAAAAGTGGATTTGTGCACTATCAGAAGGGAATATTATTTTGTCAACAAGCTGTAATGTGAATGTCAACCTCTGACATGAACAACCATGAAATTACCCCCTGAATAATATTCTTTTAAATCTAAATACTCTCTAATTAAATTTATTTTCTTTATTTTAGATTACTTTAAGAATATTTTGGAGAAAACACCAATCTGACTGAAATTCATGACTGAGATGCCTAATTCTTGCACATCAACTTGTGGGTAATGATGTATTAAGCATTCTTCCCAATAGGTAAAGTCTTTGAGGATAATCTAAATACACATCCTTCATCCATTTGTTCTCAATGAACTTTGAAATGCACCTGTTTAGATTAGAATAATTAACCAACATGGTAAAACAAAAAAAGAGACATAGACTATATAGAAACAGGATGTGTGAGGAGCAAAACAACACAAAAACTAGCAAATCCATCCATCCAATTTCTAATCATTTCAACCAATTCAGGGTTGTGGAAGGGGATGAAGTTTATCATAGCAAGCAACACGCATAAGGCAGGTAAACCCTAAATGGCATGCCAGTCCATCACAGAGCACACACAGACTCAGACAGACACACACACTCACACCAGGGCCAACTTTCCCAGGACTAAACTAGCGAATCTAAAAACAGAAATCTAATTTTATTATTCTAAGACAGCTTCAATGAAAACAGAACTCTTTATACGTACAGTGACAAATACTGTACATTAAAAAGATTAACATATGAGCATGGACAATCACATTCACTCTATGACTCCAAAGAAGCAAAGCTCTTCTGTTATGCATCATCACACTGCATCTCATTTCTGCTGCACAGTTCTGCTATGCAAATGGGCCACAATTATGTTTCTATTAAACTACTGTTAGAGCTTTTTATCACAGTAAACAGAGCTCCTCATTGACAAGCTGCTTCCTTATCTGAAAACATTCAGTCACCAAAGCAGGACACAGTAGTGTAGAATTTATTTCTTGTTTGCTTTGTTTTATATTTGGCTTTAACAAATTTTAAAAAAGCAACAACAAATTAAATGCTTAAAAATCATTTGGCTTTAAAACTAAAAAGACACCTTGATATTAGATATTAATTAAAGCAAGATATTTTGGGGATACATCTTAATGACATTTTTTGAAGCACGTGTTGAGTGAAACAAGCATTTTAGAATGTTCCTGCAAGGAAATCAATCCTTTCCACTGAGGTATGGATAAAATAACCTATAAACCATTGTTTGAGGTTTACTTAAAATTCATTTTTGGTAACTAACCTTATACTATGCATGGACTTAAAAGGAGACAAACACATGCTCTTAAATTAAAAGAATGTTGAAAAGGACACTATCTGGTAGGGGGTGATCACTACATGAATTACAGACAAAATATCAAAAGTAATTCTTAAATTGTGCATTTTTACTCAAGGCCTGTGCCACTTTAAATGCAACTATTAGGCTCAATTTTTATAATCTTCTGTAGTTCTTACTTCTGACATGCTGACTTTTCCAAAATGTTCATAAGACAGTGAACACTCAACGGCAGCTGCTTGAGATTAATATCCTCCAGTCTTTTTACAGTTTACCCAAAGAGTACCACTTGCTCCTGGTTGCAGGTGATTGCACAAATTGTTGAAGTGGCAATTAGTTTATTACAATAAATGACAGTGCCTCTGAATTTACACATGCAGTCTACATTGTGTAATTACAAACATCACAATATCAATAAATATCAAGCAGTCTATCCCTTTCACTGGTTGGCGAGGAGCACTATCATTTTAGAATCTATTATCTTAAATTGTTTGAAAAGTCTAAGGGTGTTTGAAGGGAGTTGATTTTTCAGTTATAAATATTATTCACAAGATTGTTTGGAAGCTTTTGGTTATTTGTATTTTCTTTTTCATTTTTACACAAAGGGATTTGTAAATAGGGGTGTAGGTTTACAATATATTGCAATATTATTTGCTGTGAGTGCTTATCAATAGACAGTCTATTTAAACTTATAACTCCTGTAGTTTGCAAAAAAAGAAAGATAGTTTTTGCAAATACATCAGCTTAGGATCTCCTTAAAACACTGTCTTTAGTTCTTTAAACTTGAGTTTGTGGAACTGGTACAATTCTTATAAAAAACAGTACAGTGTAATGATACACTAATGTGAAATTTTAAGGAAGGACAAATGTCTATTATTAAGAAAATAGGTAAGCATTATATAATAATGCATAAGTTAATGTAACATTCAGGTCTAACAGATTTAAGAACAAATTTTAAACAGACACTGAAATCACAGAAAAAGTGAAAGAAAATATAAATAAAGAATCATAATGGTTCATCAAAGTTATTAGTTCTTGTCAAACACAATCTAAATGTAGTGTTTCTCACTTTTCCTGAGCGACAACAGTCAACCAGCAAAGGATGGTCAGTTGCAGATGTCTACAATGGTTCTATAAATCCTATAAATATTGTTTTTGAATGTTTGTTTACTAAGGATGTTGACATTATATGTTTGGTTATCATCACCAATCTGACATGTTGTAACTGCAAAAAGAATTTGGACCTTCCGGTACAAATATTAACAGTTTGTTATTCCACACAGATGAAGAATGGAGAAATAGGACTCTTTAAAAACTGTGGAATCCAGAGAACATCTAATCATTCCTGGCTGACAAGTCACTAGCCAGTTAACACTGAAGGCAGACTTTCCCAGCTTACATTTTAAAACAAACAAAAAATAATGAACATAAGAAAGCAATAGAATTAACTTGCATAGGATACATCCACCTTCTTGGCATTTCAAAAGATATTTTTTTACATTAGGTAAAAGCATTAAAGTGTGAGCTCAAATCTCTCAAGTGCCATATGAGGTGACATACATATGTATACACAGCATAACAAAAACATAAAGCAGATACAGTTTAGCTGCTAAGATTGGTAGCTTTTGCATGGAGAGAACTAATGAATTAAGATGATGTACTGCAGCATGGATATGAACTCTTGATTCAGCCTTTGAAAATGAGGATGCCGAAACATGACTAGAAATTAGTGTCTCCTTGTTTTCCTCATTACGGCTCTTAGAATCTAAAGCTATCCCACATGCCCACATGAGCTGGAGTCGGGGCAAGTAGAAGTACCACTTCCTCAGCTCCTAATTGATTTCAAAGGGAAACGGGGTCTGAATAATCAAGGATCATCAGGAAGAGGAGTGAGAATTGCAGAGGACAACAGTGACACAAATTGCACACAAGCACCCGGTAAAACAAAGCAGCCCGGAGAAGAAAATAAACCCATTTATTACATTGTCAGCCAGCGTCCTCACCTTCATCTGAGGTTTCGCCCAGAAGAGCTTTCTACCTATGATGGACAATATGACGCAGAGCAGGGACGAGAAAAAGGCTATTACTGCAAACACTAGGGCCCACGACAGACTGCAGAAATAGCAGGTGCTCTCTGTGGAAGTGCAGACCATGACGTGGATGGAGGAGCAGAACAGACAGAGCAGGTAGAAGGGCAGTGAACAGAGGGCCGAGGAGAGGGGCAGGTCCACCTCCGCTGCCCCACTCAGAGCCTCTGCCATGGTGATCAGTAGCAGGAAAAGAACCTGCAGGCACATGGAGGAAAACAGAGAACATCACATTACTATGGTAGTCACATTCAGCTTTAAAAAAAAAAAACATCAGTGGACATTAACTCTCCACAGATTACAACATCAAATAGTAGTGTGCCGGCTTCATATACTAGCTATGACTGAAGATCAGGTTTTTAATAATGCTATCATGACAGAAAGAGGCAACAGTTATGCAATTTAAAGCAGTGAGGAGAATGTAGTACTTGAATCACCTCTAGTATATATTTTTATTATTCTGGAAATTCTATCAGTTTTTAGACCACACTGATGATCTGTCAACAGCAAAACAAGTTTAAGATGCAAAAGGCTGCATTCTTCCAATCATAGCAAACCAGTTAACACTCCTGTGTAGTCATCAAACAAATACTGTATCATTGGATGCACTGACAACTGGTAGTTTTCCACTGATATTAAGAGACAGATGCTAACCAAACATCATACTTGTAGAACAGAATTTGTATGTACTGGCTCAGAAAAGCTGTTATAAGTTCTATTTTTTTTAAAGAAAATGTAAAATAGCATTGCACTAGGGTATATAATGCAGCTTTCAAATTTAAGGATTAAAAAGTGAAGTGTGATCCCTACCTTGCAATAAAAAGAGCAAAGCTGTTTAAAATGACAAATATACAGAAATACAGAAATTAAAGCACAGCTGTATTGTTGCTGTAATAACGTTTCATTACACCATTTGCTTTGCAGTTATGAGGAGTGGGTTATAAATTGGCCTGTGATCTGCATGTTTAAAAGTAATGCTCCACAATTAGCATATTCACTAGGCTTCTCAAACGGGTTTTAAATATCAGTAATATTTCAGTACGACTGTCTGGATGCCTTTTTTACCACTTCATTCAATTCAGGGACATGGGTTTCAACCTTCAGTATATCTTCAGTTGTAACTACTGTATGTTGAAGCAGGTTACTTCTCAGCATGGATGCACTGAAGTGATTATGATTTTATAAGAACAACAGCTTAGCCTCTCTGTCCATCAAGAAAGTAACTGAAATCCATCATGACAGGGTAGAAGTGTCATCCTACAACCACAACACGTAACATTTTACTATCACTATTTTAGAAAATCCTTACATTGTGGATGAACAAAACAATTTTAGAACTATCTGAGATAAAGACAGTGTGCTGAAGAAGGGGACGAGCACCTTAATAGTGCAAACTGAAGGACTAAAAAAAGTGCTGCTGTCTTGAAGAACCAGGGGTTATTTAACATACTGTATATATACTGCATAGATATATGTATCCATAAGGATACGAACTTTGTATTATAATTTCATATGTGTTCTATCACCACATGCTTTAGTATTTAAGCAGACACCAAAAAGCTGTTTCAGCCGTTTCTGTCCACATGGTGATATTCCAAATTGTAGTGCACATCACCTTTGATTGTTCCTGAAAATCTGGGCTTCCAAATGCTTACTGTTGTGATAAAGACTCCCACTTTCCCTAGTTTTACAATTGACAATCTTTAAGCATAAGCTAGAGCAATTTCTATTTTGTCACTGTTCTGCATAAAACGCTGTAATTGAATTTTCTATCAGAAACTCCTTTGTAAAGCACGGACAGACTTCTATTGCTGTCATCATTTGTTCTTCAGGATGACTAAAGAAGAATGCACTGACTGCATTAAATGCAGTATTTTTCCGTAGGGTGAAAAAATAGTTTGCTTGGAGAAAAAAAAAACAACTAGAGAGACTTCTTAATGTCAGAAGGATGGGTCTCTTTAGATAGTTGATTTATAGTATGACAGTTCATCAAGTTCCTGGTGGACAGCCTTGAAAAATGTACTAATGCAAAAAAAAACTTTCGGTTAATATTGTTTTTTTTTTTTGCGTTAAATGTGCAGAAGAAATATTTTGTAAAACCACAAACCTCATAAAAATACACTGTTGAGAAACGATTTTTTTTAAGTTTAGATAAAGCATCTTCTGGTGCATCATAGACAAAAAAGCTTTTTAAACACAACAGATTTCAAACACATGAGAGTATTTTTTAGCACTGTTAGAGAATACTGTATAGAATATAAAAGGCACATTGAACACACACAAGAGAACACCAACACAAATGGACACGCATATTAATGAAAGGGGGATAATTATAGAAATAAAACAAATAACCCCAAGCTAATGACTGCAATCACCTGAATGGAAAAAAATGACAAATGATGATTAAATCTGGCTACATGCACTACACTGCAATAAATAAACGCAACTCTTTTATGTCTTTTTGCTCTTATTGCAAACCAAGGGTCCAAGACTCCGAATCCCTTGAGTACCTTCTCTTGGGGACATTAGTTAAAAGCTGTCATATGGATGCCCTTGGATTTCTACCTTGACAAACTGCTGACAGCTACTCTTCTCCTATTTTTTTCTTATTATTATTTCGTTTCAGGTCTCAGTGGAAATTCTTAAAGCTTTCCAGACACAAAGAGATTTTCTTTTAGAAACTTTCAGATGTTTGTAGCATTTACTGCACCACTAATAACCGGCAACATACCGAGCATATTTTGAGGCATCAACAAGGTCCATCGCCTGCATTTGTGAAAGTATTTTGTTCATCAACACTGACTTCAATTATTCAAACACCTGCACTCAGTAACTATTCTCCAAAGACTTTTGAATTTTAGAGATTTCCAGTTTATAGAAAAACAAAATTGAAAAGAAAGTAATCCACTCCTCTAGAATATAATGGTAACAGATCTTTACCAGTCTTCTTATGGTTTCTAATTCTGGTTCTCTTTCAATCCTTAACCTCCTTAAAAGTGCTGCTTTTGACACCGTTAACCAAGACATCTTACTTTTTCGTCTTGAGACTGTGTTTAGAGTTTCTGACATTGCTCTTAAATGGTTCAACTCTTACTGTACCTCACAGATCGCCGACACTTTGTCTCTCTTAGGGGTTTCAGTTGTGAAGTTGGGCTCATTAAGTCTGGTGTTTCTCAGGGCTCATTACTACTACATCCTTCTATTCAGCATTTACATGTTCCCACTTGGTCAGCTATTAAGATCATATGGTCAAATTGATAATTCCTTAGAAGATACTCAAATCTACATACTAAACTAAATCTATACTAAACTTGACATTGAAGTGTCCCTCTCTGCACTGTCTAATTGCATCTCTAACATAAAAACCTGGATGACTCAAATTTTCCTCCATTTAAACCGTGACAAGCCTGAAGTCACGCTTCTTGGCACATGTTCATTCTTTCTCAGTCTTTTTTTCAGAATTTAGTGTTAGGGTTCAGTGATGGATGTCTATCAAGTTTCAAATGCATTTTAAAGTGGGACCTACTGTATGAAAGTACAAGCAAGATTTCCTAGAGGTAATAGAAAATCGTGCAGTAACTATTTCAAAGATTTGCTATTGTCAAAAATCAAAGAAAGGATTTTCTACTCACTTGGCTATAAAAAATTAATAATTTAAAGTTTTAGTTACATTGTCAGGCTCCACTAGGCTATTGATTAGCACTGGTCAGCCTCTAGAAGATTTTACAAATATAGTATGTGAGTCTTCTTTGTACCACTGCTGCATTTCATGCCATTCATGTTTTTTACCCTTATAGTTCCAAGATTCTGACAACATAGAAGATAGTCATTCCATTCAGCTTTCCATCAGCTGTCACAATTTTTTTTTTTAAAAATGCCTGCATTTCTCATGGTTGGGAACAAAAAGGAAAAGAAAGTCAAAATTCCAAGCATATATAACTGCTTTTAGAAAAGTGGCTAGTGTAGCCACCTGAAACGACAAATAAGTTGACTAAAGAAGCTTATGAACACAATTTTTGTATGCTTTAATTTAAAAAAAAAATCCTGCAGTAAAGGCATTTAGATTCATTAGTCATCTAATATAAACAACCTCAGTGGTATCAGTTACTGGTAGTTGCCGTGGAAACCCCCCAGAAGATGAAAAGTGAAGACAAACATATATGCAAATCTAGAAATATGTGTAATGCACTCTAATGCAGGTGTTAATTGAAGGGCAGAGGAAGAAAAAAAATGATTTTAAAGACAGTACAATTCTGCAATAAAGTTAAAAAAATGAAGACTCTTCCATTTCCAAGAAAAAACAATGAACTGCACTTTGCAGCTCTCGTTAAGTGATACAAGATGACAAATGCGACACTGGTAAAAAGACTCACAAAAAGATTTTTGCAGAGCAATCTTTTCAAGTGATTTTTTTTGCAACATTTTCTAGCGTAGTCGTCTCCCCTCTTAGCTCTGCCACTTTGTACTCGAAAATACTACATTTCCAAAACTGGTCTTGGCAGATCCCTTAGCCTTCTTATTTCTGCTTAAACCAAGCTTTCGATTGCATAATTTGACACTTTAATTTCCCATTTTTATAATTAATTGTCCGTTGAAAAGCAATAAAAGGCCCAGTTAAGCACATTATTGTTTCCATTAATACATCAGTTGGACAACTGTCAGCTCACTTGGCACGAAAACCAGAAGACTCAGAGATACTACAGAACCAGAGTAGAAAACCCCAGTATTTAACTGAAAAAGATTTCCCTTTGGTTCCCAATCAATTATTTAATAGTTCTGTTTTCTGTAAATTTACTGAATGCCACACTTTGAAAGCACTTCACCCATACGACACTGGTTTTGTTACAGTTATAGTATAAAACCTCCAAAAGCTGTATACTGTAGTTGTACAGCTTAATGGTTTTTATTTGCTTTTAAAGCAAGGAAGATTAACAATAAATCTTAGTCTGCATATAAACGAGCTGATTTTGTACTGAAACCTGAAAAATGTTGGCAAAGGAAAATAATTTAAAATGATGTCCAGCAGTATGTCAGCAGGGGAATCATTCTTACCTCTAACACAATGCTCATGCCCACAATCATTGAGTACATGTCATATTTCCCCAGCTGCTTACTGAGGGATTCACTCATTGACTTTAAGGCATCCATGTACTGCTTCAGCACTTTCTTTCCCATGTTGCTCAGGACCTCTGACGTATTCCCTTCTAAATAAAGCTTCATCCAGCTGCCATGGGACTTCTCAGCTATTCTGAACTGCTCATATCCTGGATCTGTGAAGGTGAGAAATATGACACACATCACAAAGGAGACAAACAATTACCAAGAAAAGACTTTGAAAGTGGAAAAATACTGTAACACCAGTATGATTATCATTTCCACAAAGGAAGCTGGACATTCATAAAGCTCCCTTCACAATGCATGGACAAAAAATTCAGTGACCTAATTTCTCACTTGCTCCTCAGGAGTGTTAACAAGAAAAAAAAAACCCAACATAAAGCATCATCATTTAGATTATTCATTGTACATCAATATATGCCTGCATTCAGCCTGCAATACTGTATATTCCACAGAATACAGCAGGCTAAAATATTGAGAAAATAAGGTTAAAAGATCAACTTTCTTTGCTTCACTGAACATTATTTGCTATGCTGTTACTAGAGCTCTGTGTGAGTGTTATGTTTTGATAAATATTTGAACACAGCTACCCCGTAAATTATACTTAGTATATACCTTCCAGGCATTTAATAACCCAACTTTCTTGCTCAAGCAAATTTGCCTCTGAGTCCAAGCAATCTCTCTCTCTCAATGGAAGAGCATTATGGCCAAAGATTTTTTTCTTTTTCACAAAATGCACCCCTGTGTAAAATACACTTTAAAATCATCAATCTCATTGCAGGATTAAAACAAAATCCATAAGGAAATTTTACCTACAAGCATTCAAACACACTATCATGTGAAGAATTTTAAGATAGTCCTCTGCATTGAGTATGTATCTCTCCCTTAGGAAAGCTATTTGCTTTTACTTTGCAGTACTTGCTTTTCTTTGTGTAGTATTTTTCAGACTTATTCATTTATTTTCAGACAGTATTCATTTTTAAAATGGATATTCTGTGGGACAAGCCCCACTGTAAGTCACTTTTACAGGCTGCATTTGGTATTATACTCCTACATAAACAACTGTTATTAGTGGGAAATTAGCAGAAGATATTCTAAACTGGAGAAGAGCCTTTTATACCATAAGAAAAACAAAAAGTATTAAAAAAACAATAGACATGCAAAATGTATATAATTTATATGTAAAAAAGAGATGCTTAAAATGTCTGTCAATGCAATTGTGTGTTAAGGTGAAAAGTCCACTTAATCAAAACAGTACTTGAGGTCACGTTTATCTTTCAGAATGTGCTGTGCAGACAAGAAACAGCAAAATTCTGAATAAACGGAGATTAAATTGCTGTATCCCAGTATTTATATGTTTTCCTAAGTGAGTAAATTCAAAAGCTTTATACATGTACATGTTTTTTATTTCTAACATAAAATACAAGTATTAGTAATTCTTTTTCACATCATTAACTAGTTTAGCAAGTATTGCTCAACAGCGTCTTTATGGTAATATACTGTATGCTTCCACTACTCTTTTCACTGATAAAAAAGTGAGCAATGTAATATTAAACTAATGGAAACTGGAAAGGAGCACTGATTTCAAATTGTGTCCAGTCAGATTTATTTTCTAGCTTTAACTGTCGGTGTACATTACTTAATAAAATATCACAATTGTTTACAACTTTTACAACTATTGAGGTGTCTCAAGATCTAGAGAAAATGGTCAACATCTAGCAAGTGTCAACATTTGCAGTTCTAGGGATTTCAGAGTGAGTAAAAACAATGTGTGGAAGACAAGGTGTTTGCTGAGCTGTAGGAGGTCTGAGGCACATTGATCAGAAGGAATTGTCTGGTATACTTTAGTTAATTTAGTTATTGTTAAATCATTAAGAGTCATCAACAGTCCAGGAACACATGATAAAAAGACTAAATAAAGGAGAATGCAGAAAGGAAGAAGAACTACAAAGAAAGAAGCAAACATGTGTCAGGCAAGATGACCTAGTTTGAATCAACATTAAAGACCGGATTCTATTTGAATCTTGTCAAGAGAACGTGCCATTCTCTTGTTTTAGGAAACTCTGATTTCCTTATAAGAAATCCCTAAGTTAAAAACATCCTCTATTGGTTAGTACATGCAAATTTTAGAATAGGGAGATAAGATCCTATTCATTTTGGAGCATTCAGATCGGAAGAGGGAATGTTTATTTTGAAGGCAGTTTTATCACTTTTGGTCTGTGTTGGCATTATATAGGATATCTTAGTACTGGGTTAGCAGTCTGAGTTGGTCTGGTTAGTCATGACATAGGCCACTGAGATGTCTTGTTTGTAAATAGGGTAACTTATACATTGGTTTGTGTGTTGCTTAGTGTGTCTTACTGTCATTAACAAATAATTCATATTTGTTTAACCCAGTGTGCCTAATTTATTACTCCATGCTGAAAAAAAGAAGAAAGAGAACACAACGTTTCGGCCGTGGAGCCTTCTTCAGGTGGGAAAATATATATATATATATGTTTATCTAACTGTTTGGAATATGTATTTATATTTGTTGTTGTTTTTTGTTCCATTACGAAAACTAGGCAAGGAAGAGTAAGTTTATATAACACCTGAAGAAGGCTCCATGGCCGAAACGTTGTGTTCTCTTTCTTCTTTTTTTCAGCATGGAATAAACCTATTACTTGTTCCTTTGCAGCCTACACATGCTGACGCAGCTACCCACCTAATTTATTACTCTTTTGCCAAAGCTTTGTCAGAGAAGAAAGAGAGAGTGCCTCCAATTACACCAACCACTCAGGTATATTTTTTACATATTTTTACAATTTGGGGAGTTATGCGTATTTTACTTAATTATCAATTATCTTGCTTTGTATTTGCCATAAGTCTCTATTTTCCCAACCCTATATTAATAACAGTGCTGTTCTTAAAATCAGGAGTTATATAAACTTACTCTTCCTTGCCTAGTTTTCGTAATGGAACAAAAAACAACAACAAATATAAATACATATTCCAAACAGTTAGATAAACATATATATATATATTTTTCAGAACAGATTCACCCCAAAGGCTAGAAAGCAGTGACTGAATACATAAACTAAAAAAATATACTGGAAAAATTCATGAAATTATTTCATAGAACAGGATCCAATTAATAAAGGAGTATAATGAATTGCAAGCTGTGGTTTAAGAGGATATTAGAAAGATCGAGAGAGAGAATATGGCAATAGAGACTAAAATAATATATTTGCAGCATTACAACAGCAAAAGAACAGTAAAGGACTCAGAAAGCAAATGGCTTCAGAGATAAAATGGTAAATGTCTAGACAATGAAAGCAAAATGACTTGATGTATTAAATCTAAATTGCACGTATTCGTATTTTAGGGATTCAGGTTTTATGCTTTTTTGTTAATGGGTTCATTAGCACATTTCCTATGTGGGACAATAAAATCATACGAGAGAAGATATTTAATGTAGACAACTGCATATACAGTACATGAATGTAGCAACAAAAGCTATAAGTAGATTATAAGAAATTCTCTTTTTGAAGGAGTTATAAAAACTCCTTATAAAAAAGACTTGGGTATCTGCTGACACATCATTTTCATTGTCCTGACACAAAAAAAGCCAGTATATTGTTTGGATATATATTTAAAAGCCACAGAACTTAAATCAAGGGACATTATGCTACATTTATTCATACCAAGATGCCATTTATATTACTTTACACAAATTTGGTCACTAAGCTATAAAAAATATTGCTGCTTTGGAATGAGTGCACAGAAGAGAAAGCAGATGCAAATCTAGGCTCAAAATCCAAAATGAAACATAAACCAGAAGACAAATATGGGTAAATAAGGCAGGTGGTTTTAAACATGTTATCATTTTACAACTGTTACAACCTGGCACAAGCTACCTTGGCATGATGCTGAAGATATGATGCTGAAGATAATACCCTGATTTCTTTCAAGAAATGGCCAGATGAGATCATCCGACCAATTAACTAGTATGCAACCAAACGAGTCTCCTCTTACACTTTCATCATTGGCCTTTGTTAATTCACTGTTGGATGATAACATCGCCAAGAATCGTCTACGCGCATCAGTTTCAATCTGTCTAAATTCACAATCTATTATTCCAGCACATTTCATGATTTTATCAAGTCAGGTCATCTTCTTGTTTGCTTACTTTTTTAAATCCAGTCGAGGATTCAAGAGAGCCATATCCATTCTGCTACTTTTATTTGCTGTACTCCAGCAATGAGAAACATTTGAGAATGAATTCATGCATTTCATTCTGCCTTTTTAATTTGCACTATATAACACTATACACTATGCTAGAGAAATGCGGGATTATATCAGACTTCCTGAATTGTTCTTCCTTGTGCTCTATGTGATGCTTCACATGTGTGCACTGAACTCTCAGAGCACCAGTTAGATTACAAAATAAACTGAAGGGAGGGCCAGTGCCTGGGGCCTGATGTCCTGTCCACTCCAGATGCTTAAGCGTGGCTCACACAAAAGCACTCATGTTCAGCATCTGCCCTGTGGTTTCAGTTCCCAATTAACAGTGATGAAGTGCCAGACTATCATCTCTTCTCTGGAAAGAGAGCTGAGACAGTGCCAAGTTACAGCTGCCGAGCTTGTTCTCCTGCAAATAAGGACAGCGTCATCCCAGGTCCTACAATACCTTCTCTCAGAGTGCAGATTGCCACCAGAATACATTTTTACTAGCTTCTGTAGCACAAAGCTGGGCTCTGTCATTTCCTTTTGGTTTTACAGATTAATGTTCAGTGGTCCAAGAGAAAGCTTTAAAAATAGATTTTAAAGCAGTAATTCAGTTTTTCAGATCCAGAGGATACATTATCATATTTCAGAAGAAAGAAAAACAAGAATATAATACCTACAAAGACTGACATTACTTGATTTAAGAGGCATCATGTTCACTGCAATGAATGCATTTACACAATTTTTTTTTCTTTACAGGGTCTGAGTATTGTAAAGCATACTGAAGAAAAATAGATGATGACAGTATTTGTAAAAATCTATATTGTTATGAATAATGCAATTTAAAAAACATTTATCAGTGACCTGTAATTATATTACTGTAAATGTCAATGGAACTATTTCTTCATGCTCTAGAATGGAAAAAATGGGAAAAACAAACAGGGTTTGA